CTGGGAAGAAATCGAAAAAGAAATGAAAATATCAAACGTCGATTGAGGAAGGAGTGGATTTGAAAATTTTGGTTAATAAATTACTAGATGAGCATAACGAATTGTTAAATTTGAAAGAGATTTTTGTGACAGCTCCCAAGCTTCGGGAATTGGTTACTAGCACGAAAAAGAGTGGCGACCGTAAGATTAGGAGATTTGATTTTTAAGGAAGCAAACTGGACAATCACGGGGAGTAAGATGGATTGGAAGTCGGTTGGAACTGGGTCCGTCGAAGTAAGTATTAGAGGAAAGAGATACCCTAGAATGGTGGATACTGAAGCGGAGATGAATATTATGAACTCAGAGACAACCGAAAAGTTAGGGATAGAAATTGATAGAAGTGACTATGGATACCTCAATGGGGCCAGTGGAAAGTCAAGATATACAGGAATCGCTTCAAATGTGATCGTGGAAATCGAGTGAGTTAAGGTCTGTACTTGCGTCTACATCATGCCCAACCTCAACCTACCCATATTGTTGGGAAGATCTTTCTTATCCAGATCCGAGACTTTCATCATCAATAAGCATGATGGGACCATGTTCTTGATCTTGTGCGATCCGGTATGTGAAAATTTTGAAGTAATCACGTGTAAGAATGCAGACCCCCATAGTTCGAAGAATCGCCTTAACGCGGGGTCATACACATTTGAAGAATCGAAGGACAGGAGAAGAGAGGTAGAGTGGGGGTCAAATGACGATGACGAAGACGAGGAGGAAGGAGGACTAACTTTAAGTTTGACCAACATACACCAAGCAATGTACATGGTTTCTGCTTATGAGATGGCAGAACCAGAGGCAATCCTGGCATTGGTTGATAGGCTGCATGAATATCCTGAAAGCGGGAGGATGGATTTGGTGTATAGACCGCCCCCTCTAGAAACGAGAATGCGGGAACCATATGTTCGTACAAGCAACCGAATTTTTTTAGGATTGGGCTCAAGCAAGGAGGAAAAAGGAGGTACAAGACAGTAGATAAAAAAAGCCATCCGGTTCCGGTCATAGTGACACACGAGGAAGGGGTGTACGATGAACACGAACGAGAACTGATAAGGCAAATGAGAGAGAAGTGGGAGGAAGAAGCTTGTCGTATCAACGAAGGGATGGAAAAAGACCTGATCATTGGGGAACCTGGGTTCCTAACTAAGCACGAAAGGACATTGGTAATAAGCTTGATGAAGGAGAAACATAGCGCCTATCCCTTTAATGATAATCAGGGAGGGAGGTTAGATGTGGATAAGGTAGGAATGATCCGGATCCATACAGTCCCGCACCAGCCTTGGAATATTAGAGAAGTCAGGTACCCGAATCCTGATGATCAGCGAAGGGTGGTTGAATACCTCGATGGAAAGATTGTCTCGCACGTGGCAGGATTCTCTAGTGGATCATATGCTTCGCCATAGCTTTGCTTTATCAAACCAAATGGGGTACTCAGATAGGTGCAGGATTTGCAGAGATTGAATGTTGAGACAGTTAGAGACGCAGGAGGACTCCCTAACGCTGATCAGCTTTCTAAGACATGTGCAGGGAGGTCTATCATCTCACTCATAGACCTCTACTCTGGCTACGACCAGTTCCCAGTTTATCCGGCCGCTAGGCCGATAACTGCGATGCATACTCCTAGGAGGCTGATCCACATGAACGTAGCACCCCAAGGATAGACAAATGAAGTAGCCATGGTGCAAAGGAGTATGGTCAGGGTAATGCAACCGATCAGTCCACAAATCACTGAGCCCTATATCGATGATCTTGCAGTAAAGGGACCGATGGTGAAAGATGAGCAAGAGATTGCACCTGGCATTAGAAAGTTCGTTTGAGACCATGTTAATAATCTCCGGAAGGTGCTTGATCTCTTACAAAAACACAACCTCACGGCGAGTGATGCGAAATCCAGGAAATGCATGAGAGAAGCAATCATTATAGGATTCGTGTGTAATGAGCAGGGTCGTCGTCCTGACACCAAGAAAACGAATAAATTTTTTGAATGGCCGACACCATTCAGAAATATAAGTGAAGTGAGATGTTTTCTTGGGACATGCGGGTTTTCGAGAATATTTATCAAAAGGTTTGCCGCTAAGACTGAGCACGTGAGGAAGTTGGTAAGAAAGAATCAGGAATGGGAGTGGGGAGAGAAGCAGGAGCAGGTAGTAAGGGACTTGAAAAATGAATTTGAGGAAGGAGATCTGGTACTGGGTGTTCCGGACTACGAAGTAATCATAGAGTGTCTCTTCATTATAGAAATTGATGCCGGACCCACTGCCTGGGAGGAGTTTTGATACAAGTTGATCATGAAGGAAAGGAAAAACCGTTGCGTTTTGAAAGTCGAACCCTCAATTCAAGTACCCTGAGTTTAATGAAGAGAAGGAAGGAGAGGAGTTTGAGCAGGGCGATATCTCATAGGATTTCCGGGAAGAGGAATATGATGGGTTCTACCTAGAAATGAGACTTCTTCTCTTCGGCGACAAGAGTGAAAGGGATGTTAGTGAAAAGACTCTCCGCATGAGAGATCACTATATAGTACGGGGTGGTCATCTCTTCATCAGAGACAAAAGAGGACCGCTTAGGAGAGTTATTTGTGACAGAAATCGCCAGATTGACGTCATAGCAGCCCTCCATGATGGACCCGCAGGCGGCCATAGGAGTTTTGTCGCTGCCCTCAAGAAAGCATCCGAGTTATACTTCTGGGAAGGTATGTACCGGATGATCTAAAGGTATTGTGAGTCATGCGTACCTTGCCAGGTCAGATCTCCGGCTAGGTACAAGGAGTCTTTACACCCAAGGTATATAAAGGATGTGGGGGCGGTGATCCATTTGGATCTACTGACAATGTCGCTAGGACTTGGAGGATATAATTATATCTTTGATGTTTGGGATAATCTTTTAAGATTTGTGGATGGTAAAGCCATCCGGACCAAGACAGGAGTTATCTTGGCCGATTGCATCAAAGAATATTACCTCCGATATCCCTTTGTGATAGGGTTTACAATGGAATGAGGGTCGGAATTCACTTGTGGGGAAGTGAAAGAATTACTGGATGACCTCGGAGTGATCGCTAACTATACGACAAGGGCACATCCTCAGGCAAATGCACCAGTGGAGAGAGGACACAGTACCATCACAAACCTACTTGTAAAGTGGACTGCTGGGAAACTGAATCTTTGGCCTAAATTCTTACGGACAGTGTTTTTCGTTCAAAACGTCACCGTCAGAAGAACCACTGGCTATGCTCCCGCGACATTATGGTATGGAAGACACGCTACCTACCCAACAGAAAGCTTCTTAAAAACCTGGCGAAGACAAGATCTAGATAACAAATTGTCATTTGAGGAATTGCTTGATATTCGGGTAAGGCAGGTCAGTATCACGGAGGAAAGGCTCCAGGAAGCAGTCGAAGAAGTGACCGAAAGTCGTGGGAAAGATAAAGAGAGATGGGACAAACTTCCTCGAGTACGAGCTGAATCATTAACAGTTGGAGATGTGGTGTTGTTGTACGATTCATCCTTGGAAAAACAATGGTCAAGAAAGTTGGACAAGAGATGGTTAGGGCCCTACAGAATCAGGCGCCGAGGAAATCATGGGGTCTATGAGTTAAAAGAAATGGCTGGAACACCAAGACGGGACTGGATTTTTGGATCACGGCTGAAGAAATTGAGATTGAGGCTTGAGGTGAGTCGGTGAAAAACATGGGGTTAAGACAAAGTAATTTTTCATCTCTTTAGACTAACTTGTGCAAGCATCATTGCAAATCTAATATTGCTACCTGACTGCTAACACCCTTTTGCACCAGTCAAACTCCTCTTCCTTTTCTATATGCAGGCATAATCCTGTAAGAGGAGCAGCAATGTCACAGAAAGGAGGGATGGCGGGGTCTTCCAGACCAACTTCAGGCAGAGGAGGACGACAAAGATTTTGGCGGGTGACAAGGAATTCCGATGGAAAGCCGGTTTAGAGAAAAGGGGACAATTTTAGGTTGTTTCTAAGGGAGTTTCAGAAGTATGCTTTCAGGAGAGAGTGGGATACTCTAACCATGTTACTCAAGGTAGCAGGAGTGGGGGAATGCAAGAAGGCGATTGATGATATTGCCACAAACTGTCTGGGGTGGTCGACCTTTAAGACAGAAATGTGGGCCAAATATAGAGACCTAAGGAGAGATGAGATCGAATACGACATCATCTTCGACGGTACTAATGTGGGGGATTTTGAGGATAACATCGACTTTTGCGCTGAGAGGAGAGGATGGATGGAGGAGGAGAAGATGGAGCAGGTGTTGACGAGGGTGGTTCCCACGGAATATGAAAGTGTAAAGAGGATCAAGGATGAATCAAGTACCTGGGGAGGTTTTCTTGTCACATTAAGAAAGACTTATCCCCTGACCGTCTAGAGGCAGAAGAAGAGACAGTTACTTCAAGAGCAAGGATTGTGGATAGGAAAGAAGGAAGAGAGGTCTGAAAAGAGGGTTCAACAAGAGATTGATGAAGATGATGTGCCTCTCTGACAAGTACTTCTCATGATGAGGAAAGCATACAAATAAGGAAACGAGACATCAAGCAAAGCTGCAAGGGTACAAGGAAAAGAAAAGTGCGTGGAGGAGAAGAAGGGTAAGGAGAAGAAGGAAGAGGGGAAAAAAAACAAGGAGGAGAAGGAAGAGAACAAGAAAAGCAATGAGAAGAGGGAAGAGAGGAAGAAGGACAAATAAAAGAAGGAAGAGTAGAAGAAGGACGTGGATAAGAGAGAGGAAATGAGAGAAGGGATGAATCAACTGAAAAGAGAACCTGGGTGAAAGCATCAGATAACCCTTCTAAGGAACACGTGTCTAGAAGAATGACAAGGGAAGAGAGAGAAAATAGAGGAAGCACATAAGGAGTGGAGAAACAAAATGGTCGCCTCTATGGAAGAAATGAGTTGTCGGCAAATGCCCCTTGGACTATGAGGCTCGAAAGGATCTTATTGTCTAAAATGATCAGCTGCTCCAAGTTAGTTTCAGACATGGAAAGGTTGATCAGGCTAAACGAGATGCTTCGAGAGGACTATGAGTGGCTCCTTGAGGAAGAGGCAGATGTGGTTGAGAGATTGGGGAAAGCGGAAGGAGGACAGAGAAGGGGTGACGAGACAAGGAGACTGAAGGTTTCAATAAGAGAGTTTCATGACCGGGTAAAAGAGAAAACAGAATTGCTCACTCGTGGAGTGGCAAGTCACATTCCTAAAATCCTAAAAGAAATCCGGAGATTGAGAAAGAGGGAGGAAAACAGGGATGTGCAACTTGAAGTGGAAAAGATGGGAAAGGAGGTGGAAAGCTTGAAGACCGAAGTAAGCAAGGTAAGGGAAGAACAGAAGGCGCTGAAGCAACAAATTGAGTCATTGAGCGTTGCCTTGAGCAACAAAGACAAAGAAGAGGAGAAAAAGAGAGTTGAACAAGAAAGGTTGGAGAAGGAAGTTGGCAAGTTGGAAGGGAAGATCGGTGAGCAGGAAAAAGAAATGGAGTCTGAGAAGGAAGGAAAGAAAGAGGAGGGGAAAAAATTGGAGGAGAGGTGGAAGGAAATGGTGAAGAGGGTGAAAAGTCTCAAAATGGTCAGTCAGGGAGGAGGAGCAGAGGCGCCTACTAAGGTCATCGAGTGGAAAGGAGAGCTAAGGTTTGAGATCAAGAGTGTTAGAGGGCACTTCTAGCACCAAGGCAGAGTTCAAGTGAGGCTGAAAAAGAAATGTTGATGCAGGCAAAGGAAAGCGGCAATCTGCCCATTGTCATCACTTCAACCCTTGTTAACGAGCGTATTAGGCCAATGACATCTGGAATTGTACCAAAATCCTCTCAAAATTAATGTGGATCAAGGATTAGTAAAAAGAAACCTTATCCTAAGGTGAGGGAAGTAGGGAGTGAGAGGGGGATGACATTTTCACCCCTTCCTGCCAAAACGACAAGAGGAGAGGAAAAAAAGTTGTGTTTGTACTGTATGAAGGGGGTGCATTTGAGGGAAGATTGCCCAGGGTTTAAGATTGATGAGGGAAAATGGTTAGTAAGGTTGGATGAGAACAAGAAGCTTATTGACAGGGAAGGGAACCCTGTTAAGAAGGTCAAGGACGAGTTCAGGACTCAATTATATAGGCAGTTGAACCTCAGTATGGAGGACTCGGAGGGGATTATGCACCTTAATCACCTAAGTTCTCAACAATCATTCATACTATTTTTCTTTCCTTTCTTTTAATGCGACATTGTACACTAGGAGTCAGAAATGTAGAATAGGTAGGGTATTTATCTCCTTTGGGATGTAATATTATACTTTACCGGCAGAAAGATAATTGACAATTTTGAAACATATGTTTTTGATGTAGAATTAGCTCGGCATGTGTACTTTACTCATTGAGGATAGAAGGGGCATGTAACTAGTGCTCCAGATTTCATTTTTTTTCCTTTCAGAGAGAAGGTCGTTTTATTCTGTCTTCCTTCTCTTCAGTCACATATTTTGGATTCTAATTATGGGATATACCGACGACAAGCACTTTTCATTTTCACAATTGAGTTGGTCCAGTATTTAGTTTTGATTTGAGAAATGTGTATCATGGATATGTGTGCGAACTATGCTATCAAATCTTGAACTAGGATGCTCGCCTAAGTGTTCAAGAAAGATAAGGTGAAATGTGACGGGTAGAATCTGAAAGTGCCTTGCATTGTTGGTCCTATATTTTCCTATGCTTTGTATTATATGTAAAAAACCCGAAAAATTGGGTCAGGAAGAAGTCAAAATTGTTTTGAAGTATTTGAAAAATTCTGCGCGTCAGGGGAATATATGTTAAAAATGGAATGAATGTTTTTTTTGCCTTTTAACAAGACAAGGAGTCAAACAAATAGTTTTTATATATTTTTTTATAGATATTTTGGTTGGTTTTCCTATTGGTTAAAAGATCTCTGAGACGTGTGTTTATCCAGCCTGTGATCGAGGTTTGGGAAACACGACCCTTACGTGGCACTCTGACGATGCCCCTCGTTCAACCCTTAGTGGCAATTTAACAATCATGAAAAATCATTTTTATGGATATTCATTTTATATATATACATTCAATGCTGGGTTCGTTCATCCACTAGGTGGCAATTGACGAGGGGAGGAATTTTTTTTTGTCAAATTATTTTTTACATATTTTGAAATAAACATCGTTCATCCACTTCAGGAAGTCAGTCTGAGGGACTTAAAGTTATCAAGCCTATGGTGGAAAATTGACCTCGTTGGGACGTAACTCCCAACGTGGGTTGCTGACCAAGTATAACCAGGCGGCGAGCCTTCCGATTATGGCCTAGAACTGAAACCTGAGGGGGGGGCTCCTTAATGATGGAATTGGTTAAGGTAAATATCGGAGGGATCAAAAGTCAGGTCTAGAATGATAGGAAAATTTTTACCCAGTATTGCGTAACCAATACGGGAACCACCGCTAAAACAACAACGTGGTGGGCCGCAGTTTCAGCCTGATCAACCGGCTGTGGTGGGTTGAGGTCAAGGTTGCCGATCCCCTCGCATTAAACTTTGGGTGGGACGGTAAGACTTGACTTAGGTTAAAACCCGCGTCCAAAGAGTGAGATTCAATTATGATTCCTGACTCCTCGGACACCCAATGAGATCCTGGCAAATAAAGTTTAAAGCTGGGGGGGGGAGCTATCATTGTCTTCCTTAGTAATCTCCATGACTGTAGTAAAGATCCAGTATGTATTCCCACTTGGGTTTTATATGGAATAATCTTTCATGGGAATTATCATTTTTTTGGATACGTGGGAGACCCAGGTTAAAATCCTGGCAGTATGGACGCGCCAAGGGGGACAATGAGGGTCTTCAAACCGCAACTGCATCCAGAAAATCGGATTTTGACAATTTGTCGAGTCAAAAGGTCTTTGTTTGCATTTAGATTCCCCAGCGACGGGGACGTAACTTAATTGGGTCCGGGAAGACTGTCGGAGCAAACACCCTTACAAGGGTATTTGCTGATGATTTTGCATTCGATAGAGTATCGACGCTGGTTGCCGTACCGGAGCCAGTATGGAGTAAAAAGTGATATTGTTTTGACTTGGTACCGTTAAGCAAACTTCTCCACCTTTGAGGCCGAGGTTGTTAAGTGACCATAAGCGGTAATACAACATGTACGGAAAAATAGGTAAAGGATAATAAAAATTAAAAATTATCAACCGCAAGGGCCGGAGCGTTGGAAGAGAATAAGAAAAGGTTGCACAGGATGCGACGACCACGATCCAAAACAATCAAAGGTTCAGGCAGTAAGGAAAAAACGAATTGGAAAATAGTCCTGAAGCATCGGACCGACCAGTATAGGAGGACATGCAGGTCGTATCACCGTAAACTCGAAAGTGGACTTAAAGAATAATATAAGCCCCGATAGAAACATGCTGCCACCACACACGCGGCTACGACCAACATTGGACCTTTAAAAAAAAATGCTGACTTTTGTCTTCTTCTGCTCGGCCCCGGGTACACGACACATCCGCCTCTACTTGATGTGAAACCGGCCTACTTAAAAGCGTACACACACACAAAACTAGAAAAGAGTCCGGTCCACTAGTTAGGCTGGGCCCCACTCCTGTATTTATACAAGAATGGCCCCCCTTCTTTCCGAAGTGGGAGCTAGCTCAGTAGGTATAGGTATGGACTATCGAGCGACAGAATCGGGAATCGAGTCCACCCAGCCTTCCAACTAGCCCCTTTTTTGTCGAAGAGTACCACGACGCTTTCGCCTGGGCTCAATTTGGTCGGGGCTTGAACCAGTGACCTCTGGACCATGAGGTAAACGGGTAGTTAGGATTTAGGTTCCTCCCCGTTGGTGAGGTCTGGACAGTTGGGTCGATAGCTTATTATGGTTTGATTTTTTTTTTTTTTTTTTTTTAAGTTTTTGAGTAAATTTTTAACTACAATTTGAATACTACCTACATATTAGGATGGGTTCATTAGAAAAAAAAAGGACAAAAGGGCATTCCGGCGCCTGCCGCGAAACTAAAATGACTCTTAAGCTCCCAGCCGGTCAGGCTCGCGGGGGTGGCGATCTGTATCTTTCGCCAAAAACAGGGAGGGATACTGGTGTGAAGATCTACGAGGAGGTTAAGAACGTGAGTAATATTTTATTATTATTATTATTATTATTCCATTATCTCTATTTTTTTCTCGTATTCCTGGAGTAACGAGAATTGAACCTGCCCGATTAGGAGGATAGATTCTTCAATCCAAAGAGAAGAAGAGCAGGGAGCACCGGACCAAGTCAGGTTTTGTATCTGCAGGAGGCAGGATCGAAGAATGTGAGGAAGAGGCTACAAGCAGTGCAGGTAGCACAAAAACGCTGACTGATGAATGTGTAAGCGCGATCCGACTAGCGTGAACTCGACTACGAGAAGTGAGTGGAGAACGAAGTGCAAGACAGTGCGATGGCTATGGTGGAATGGGAGCGTGAACAAATGCTGTTAAAACCCGAGAGAAAGGGAGTAAACGAGAAAGTGAGGAAAGAAAGATACAAGAGAGAGAGAAAGGATAAGAAATGCGGAAAGAAGGAAGTTGAGAGCAAGAACGGGGTATAGTAAGGAGTTAAGGAAGAAAGGGAGAAATCATAGGACAACAGTATTCTACGATTGTTCTCCTCAAAATCACAGTACATCCCCTTCTTGGCCGTATCTGATCGTAACCACGATCAAGGTACAGGGACGGGGCTACCTTGGGGAACATCGGACGTACAAACAACTAGGAATGTGAGGGGAAGGAAGAGAGGAGAATAAGAGCACGAGAGAGAAGGAGGAGGGAGAACGTGCAAGGCAAAGTTTTACCCCCTTCTAAGAATGTGTAGTGAACAGTCGGAGGCTACTTCTCGACTTCCCAAGTAACCGGAATACAAGCGATAGTGTTGAGGTAAGTCCCCCATCTTATGACATATTTTATAACACTACGATCTATTGGGTAAAGAAGAAACGAAAAGGTCTAATGATAGGACGAAAGGGATATACGCTACTACCATCGATAGGTTGATCTAAAAACAAATGAATCTACTATGAAAAAATGCGCTCCTAAGCGTGCTCGTGTACGTGCGAGTAAGCGTGTGTGAGTGCATGGGCATGCGAGGGTACATGAAATTATGTCTGTGTGTGCATGCGTGAGAGAATAAAAGAGAGTTTTCAGTGATAGGATGAGCAAAAACGAATGCATCTACTGCGAGATCAGGGAAATATACGCAAGTACATATGGGTGTGTATGTGTGTAAGTGTGTGTGAGGGTGTGTGGGTATGACAATCTTGCAGCTTGATTCGCAATATTCTTACCGATAGGATAACTAATCGAATGAATCATCTGCAAGAACAAGGGAGTATACACAATCACATTCGTCTTCTTATGTGTGTATGTGTGTAGAAGTGAATATGTACGTGTGTGTATAAGTATGTGTCATAGCGGCATCATGTTACTTTCGTCGATAGAATGAGCAACACACTAGTCGACAAGTAAGTCTCCAACCACGAGGTCGACATCACGCTGCTTTCGTTGATTGGATGACAAAGGGTGGAAGAATCTTCTGTTGAGACAGGGAAATCTACGCTGTCACGACTTATCCGTTAGTTGTGTGTAAGTGAGTGTGCGTAGGTGTGTGTGTGTGTGTTGCTCGTAACTGTGCATTGTGTACGTCTGCACCCCGACCTCACAGATGAATCTCAGACTTCTTCCTCGGTGGGAGGGGAGAAAATTGATGAACCTTGAGTTGTTTCTGTCGATCGGCTGGGTACAAACAAAATGAATCAGCCATGAAAATAAGGTAATATAAACTATATATGTATGCTTGTGTATGTGAGAATAAATGTGTGTTAAGTCCCGATCACGCTGCTTATTACAT